TTTGACTGGTCGAAAACATGTTAGTGTCACTGTCCTCTGTAGCACTACTAATGCTAGTGGTCGTAAAAGAGCGTCGATCGTATGTCAGAAATGTATCGGCGCTGTCCGGGCCAACGGTGGTCGAGCTTGTTAGCGGAGGGAGGTTGAAGGTCATTTGATGCTCGGGCACCATCGGCCGAATGAACGGAGAGCTTGAACTGCGTTTGCGACCAGAGCTCATAATCGAGTTTGACGATTCTTGACGCATGTCCGCTTGGGGCTCGTCGCATACCTTGACTTTTACCAAGATGCGACCTTTGAGATCCTCAGGCGAGGGCAGAACGAATGTGTTATTAAGGAGCGGCTCCAGGACAAGTTGATCTTTGAAGGTGTCCTTCATAATTCTCACCATGGCCAACTGTTGCTCGGGGCAACAATGGACCTCAAGAGAGAGGATAAGAGGATAGTCACTGCTGATGAACGCGTACCGATTGATGACTGTGATGCAATCCGCAAATAACACGCTGGTGGTCATGGTTCTTCCGTGAGAGACAATGGGCCGACCATCCGCGCCATCCCAGCAGTCTATTTCTATACAACGACAGCCTTGCGACAATGCGCTGATGTAAGCTTCTGTGCTGGATGCACCAGCCACCTGACGTCCCAGGAGGTAGGTGTTGTGTGAGCTTGAGATGAAGTACTCGTTCAAGGGTCGGTCGAATCTAGATTGGGGAGCTCGGGAGGCATAAATCCCATTTGCCGAGGAGGCCAAGAAAGAAGAGAAAGCATCAACACTCATTCGGGAGACCTGGTTGTCGCCATGTTCCGGAATGCTCGGCGTGCGTGGCTTTGACTTGCGGACAAACTTGTCAAAGATAGATGTCCAATGGGCCAGATCCGAGTCAACGTCCTCCTTCTGAACATCACGAAGGAACGACAGGAATTCGTCAAGAGTGAGGCCGTCGGAGTTGAAAGCATTGTCCTTGAAGATCATTTTCACATCTTTCCGTTCCTTCAGTCTAGCAACGAAGTCACTGAACTCGGAGAAATACAGCTTGCCCTTGTTGTTGATATCAGCCTTCGAGAATTGGGCGCGCAGCATGTTCTTCGAGCAATTGATGTGCAGGCTGCGGCAGACACCCTCTACAGCTTCGAAATCAAGGCTCTCCTGATCGCCTGGCTTGAGACCCTGGGGGTATAACAGTTGCATCTCACGCTGCCAGTGAGCCTTCAAAACCGCCTCACTCTGTCCGGATCCTGCCAGACCAGCCATGAGACCTATTCTGTAACGGGAAATATGTTCGAGGGTTGAAGTCCAAAGTTCAAGAATGTGGTCATTCGGAGCGATGAGGTGCATTGTTTTGACCGTACGGCCTTTAAAGCGTTCGGCATCAGCAATAACAATTGTAAACCATCGACTTTCGAGTTCTTCTGGGACTTGGTGCTCCTCGCGGTAGTTCCGCGCATCGGCACCGACACGAATTTCCTTCACGTCGTCGATATAGAACCGTTTTGCTGGGTTGGAGGGATCCCAGTAGACTTTGCCAGCGTCGAGGTCCAGGAAGAAACGCACTTGTTTGCGGCGCTTTTTCGTCACCTTGGTTAATATCGTGCCACGTTGGATTGCCCCATCGACTTTAGGCGCAACGACACCACAGTTGCGGGAAGCCGTCGTTGAGGCATCATTCGGTAGGCTGGATGCTTCAGGGCCACAGGCACCGAGGGTTTCCAAGGCATCATTGCTGTCTTCCTCGTTACTAGACTCCAGAGCGTTCTCCCAGCTGTTGTGAGCAGTTTTGCTATCGCTTCGTCTGCGCATGATAACCGGTCCGGAGCTTCGATCTCGCTTGTCATTGTGGGTGGTGGAAGTGCGTCTTCTCGTGAGCTTGCTCGCTGCTCCACGTGAGATTCTACGCATCAAACCGGGACCTTTGTTCGTGTTCTGGGTGGTGATATCTGCCGAGCCAGAGGTAATGGCGTAGCCAGGAACAGCCATCTCAGACTCTCCAAGCTCGAAAGTGCCGGGCGGTATAAGAGGGGCAGTGGACAGTCGCCCTCGAAGAGAGTCAGAGGGGATATGCAAGGGTGTGCCTGATGGGCTTGAAGCATTTGAGTAGTTGTATGTTGAGTGAGTAGAGTTTGGGGTGGCTGAGTAAGAGGAGTAGATAGTTGCCGATGAGGGATTGGAGGCAGGCGGGATTGAGGTAATGACATTATGTAGTTTGGGGGGTTGAGAGAGTGAGCCAGTGAGTTTTAAACTTGCTTGAGTGTCGCCATTGAGGGTGGAAGGCGATGAAGTAGCAGCGTAAGCCATTGCGGAAACCTAGCAGACGTAGTACCCAGCTGTAAAATGTGAGATTGTAGACCTGCCGTGAACCGTGCCAATGCCTGAGTCACCTGGACCCTAGGGGGACGAATGAACAACGACACACACAACAATTAGGCGGCTGTGGTGACCCTGGAATGGTAGCCTGTCACTGTAATGCAATACGAGCCGAAATGGGAATCGTGTCTGGCTGAGTGATGCAAAAGCCACTTCCTTAGCGGGATTGCGGTTTTGATATCTGCATCTTGGCCTGCCTCTGATGCAATGCGGAGAGCCCTGCCAGAGAGCGCTCGCGATAGTATAGGGTACGGGTTCCTGATAACAACTGAAACAGACACCGACTCTGCGTAACAATCGGCTCGGCGGAGTGCGTAGGCCTAGAGTCTCTGCGTTCCAACTCAATTGACCAAGTACGTCTGATGACTTGACGCCGGCTAATAATCTTGCTCCTGGGGGGGTTTTTTTGTTCTTTCGAAACCAGGGAATATCTTGTTCCCTGGGTGCCTTCTCGTTTTATTCCGCCCTGTTTCTGATCGCCGCCTCCTTTCTGTGTCTGAATCCGGATTCAAGCCCCTCTTCAAATTTGCCGATCTCCTGATGCGCGGGGAAAGCTGTACTCTGCAGCAGGAATGGGAGGACGTGCGGAGCTGGGCCAATTGGGCGGGATCGGGGATGGCGAGCAAGGCTGTATCCTGTTTGGTAACAGGGAGAGGGCCGATGACCGCTTAGAAAGGAAACGAGTATTATGCAAGTCAAAGCCGTGTGCGCTGCGCATGTGCTTAGCTGTCAGCAGAGCCCCTCCACAGGGTAGCTTGTACAGGCGCCGGTAATGGGAGGGATTGAGCTTTGCGTCGGCTGGGCGTTACTGGGGAGCGAGCTAAGGCAGACCGCGAGAGGGTAAGGGTATCGGCGACGAGGATCGGAACTGCAAATGCAGGATTGCCTGCCAGCGCAGTAATGCAGGTGGTCCAAAGGGGAAGGGCGATAATGTGAGCAATCGGAGATTGGACCGACAAGGGAAGTCGTGAAGGCTGCGGTTGTCTAGTGCGGACCGAAGTGTAGCTTTTTTCCAATTTCCTGCACGGTTACGTGGAGTGTAGCAGAGGACCTGCAGCGAAAGAGCGCCAGGATGTGAGTAAGAGTTGATGATCATGCGACGGAGGAAACCGTGCCAGCGTTGTTCCTTCGTTTAGGGGAATTTCCACTGCACTTGCGCAAGTCGGGGAAGAGGACGGAAGGGTTGTAGAAGGAGGGATTTGAATGGGAGGGGAGTGGTTAGTGATGGTTGGTGATGGTGATAGTGGTAGTGGTAGTGGTGGTGGGGGGTGGAGGGAAAGGTTGAATAAGATTGTTGAGTGGGAATCAACTTTCGCCCTCTTAAGAATCTCCCATCCACGCGAATTGCTGCGGCGTCGTACAGACAAGGGAGAACTTTCGGGGGGAAGGATTTTGGAAGGTCGAATTCGAAGAACCCGCTGGATGTTTCAATTGAAAGAAAGCTGGAGTGGGTACTTTCTGACGTACTGTGTGTGGTAATTCTTCCATGTACTGTCACACGTTCTGATACACGTATGAGCCTTGTCCACCAGTGAAAATTCAAGATCGGTTTCCACTCAGGCGTAATCCACGATTGGGAAAATTGGGGAAAAATTGATTTCCAGAAAAACAAGGAAGAAAGTGGAGGACAAGCTGAGCGAGTCACTCGTTTCCCAAGTACTTGTCTTAGCCTAGTTCGTTCAATCTGCGAAAGAACTAAAGAAAACTAATCCCAGTCAGATCAATCAGCAAGGTCTGAAAAATACACCGTTTTGGCCTTGAGATACGCAGTGAAACTGACAGGTAATGATGATATAAGATCAGGACAATGATGATGGGAGTGATGATAACAGAGGCGTTTTCCTGAGCGGTAAAGATGGAATGTCTTTTGGCCAGACCTTTGCTTTTTTTTCGGCTCTTCCCAAACTTATATTGAAAAAAAAAGCAAGTTCAGTTCAAGTGCCGTTTCCTTTCGAATGGAACAACAAGCCAGGCGATGGGGAAAGGGAGGTTTGTATGCCCTAAATACTACAAGGTAAATTAGGGAAGGGGTAGACTCTCGAATTCAGGTATGCTGATAGTCTAATCGAATGGGCCGAATGAATATTGCTGGGCACCTTTTTCTCTTCTTCTTTTCTTGCTAACTAAGACTGGGGTCTGAGGGGTTGAGGGGTTGAGTGAGCTGTTCACCATGATACATCATGACAGCAGCCCAAGGAACAATATTCAGACCAAGCACGCAGGCATGATCATGAGATCATCTGAGGCCATCTGTGTACCCCTTTCACTTATCTCCTTTTCAACCCCCCTTCCTCCTGCCCTATCAGGCTCTTTGGTCTTTTCCCTGTCACGATTGAACTCTGATAATGCGGAGAAAAGCCAACCAATGTTTCTTTTTGCTTCACTTTTGTTGTGAGCTGTACTTGATACCTCAGAGCCTATAGTCTGTCACCCAAGAAAAAAACTCCATTACCTGATCCTCATCCCGGTTGGTTTTATTTTCTCTTTCGAATTTTCCTTGAACTATTTTCCAGCGAAGAAGATCAGCCTGCCCAGCGAACAGCCTTGAAGTATTGGGCGATCATTCCTCGATGGGTATCACTATCAATTCTGCGCATCGTCGATGCTGATAGGAAAGACCGGTTTCACATTCTTCCACCCCAACATTCGTGTCTTCTGGAAGAAAAGGGGAAGTTGATAGCCGGAATTATCAGTTGCTATGGAGCTTCAAGTGGACACAGCTATCGCCTTTGGGTCCAGAAAGAAGAGAGACAATGACTCTCCACCAGGAAATCGATACGCGACGGAGTACGGAGTTAGTCCCCACCTGCGCTGCACTACGAGAGCCTACAAACCTACCAGGTCTATAGTCGCAACGGGTATGACTGATACTATGGAATTATGAGGAGACGGAAGCATGCCTTACCGTCGATCCACATGCACTATTACATGTACAAGCTATCACGAAATATGATGTTACAAATCGTTGGTTGGTTATTTTGTTTTTCTTTTCTTTTCCTAGGGCACCGACACAGCGGTCCTTCTGGGGGGGGGGTTGGTTGTGTGGAGCCTGCCTGCTTTACTCTCCCCTCTTCGTTCCTCGTTCCGCCAAGCGAACGACGAATCTTCAACCTACTACGAAGTTACTACACGACTCAAGGTATCCATGTCTTGTCGACTGATGAGGTTATGAGACTTTCTGGCCAATGCTACATGCATGAATGTGCGAAGCACTTTCATCCACGGACTATTGCTTCCTAGCCGGCAAATAAGCTGCGTCTCCGACTATCGGATATTTGTCACCTGACACTCATGTAGTGAGCAAAGCAGTAACTAGTAAAAACTGATGATTTCCGTTTTCTTTCAATTTCCGACCCATACTGAAAAGTCGACCGGTCCCCTCGATCTACCTCTAAGAGTCATAGCCTCATAGGAGGTAAGGAAAGGAGGGGAATAATGAGGATAAGGGGGGAATCGACAAGCGCCTAAGAAGATGACGGCCGGTGCCGCTTCATCCCTACTGGACATCATTGTGGGGTTCCAGTCCCTAAATTCGCAAGTTATGTATCGGGCGCAAGAATGTTTCGAAACCGTTGTATGTATTTGGTATCGTGACCGGGAAAGCAAAATAAATACTCACGACTGAGTAATCACGGATGTCGCGGGCGGGCGGGAATTTGATTGAGTCATCATCGACAACAGCCCTAGGGTGAACGCGGGGGGAAGCAGGGAATGGGCGCTAGTCCATCTGTAGTAATCGTTACACGCCTGAGCTGGGAGGAATGCTGGGGCTGGAGGCTGGAGCAGTGGCAGTGGCAGTGTCACCACCCCCAACTCTGGGCGGTGCAGTAAGGGGAAAAGGGGCTGCAAAGTGGACACACATTTTATATGATACACAATAGTTGAACCTTAACTGGTCCTTACGATATCCACCGGGAGATAATCACAATCAAACAACTGCGATATGTGACAAGATCTGATGGAACAAACATTGCTAAGCCCTTGATTATCGGTTGTTTGTTAGCCAGTGCGTTGGCAGGGAATACTCTTCCTAAGCTGTCCAGTTGATGCAGTCCATTATCTACAAGGTGCGATGATCACCAAAGGTCAACAAACACGCAACTCAAGCATTGGCTGCCTACTTTCTTGGACCCTGAGCCAAGGCAATTTGATTTGCCTAGTCTGCTGTAGTGTACAATAAGCTGAGACGGGTTTTTGACTAGAGTGCATATATGTACTACCGAAACTTTTGCATCGCTTAATTTACTGTAGTCATGTTTGCCGGTGGACGATTGCTGCGCAATGATTTCAACACAAAACATCCTTTGCAGGTCACTTGGCTGTACTCAGTGGCTTTGTCGAAACACCTCATAGTGATCATTGGGACATAACGAGTAAGAGCAGGCGAATACTAGGGGCCTTATGCTCCAGAACAGCGGTCAGACGTGAGCCGGCAAGTACTAGTGAGTGATACTGAGTCGGCTCCGACTTTGTCCCATTCCCTGTCGCCGAAAAGGGTAATCCTCGACTGTTCTGTACAGTACTTGGGCTTGAAACACATTCCCTCACGTGCTCCTTTCAGTTGTGGCTGGTAACTTAGTTCACGATCTGCAGGTAACTTCATCTCTTATCGCACCTTGTTCTGAGGTACTCTGTGGTATGAATGAAGGGGCTTTAGAGATTGACATTGTTGCTTGGAAAAGACACCAACAACTATTGATCTTGGGTGGAGCCAGTGACTTTGCTAGTGAGGAAAGAAGACGAGGACTCTCTGGAGGTAATTCTACTTAACCCCGTTGCAGGAAATGCGGGGTGATCGACTGGACTTTCTTCAGGTCTCCCGTCGATCGGGAGCGACAGCAGTTCATCGCCATTGATCGTGGAAATGCATGTCCACGCACCCACAGAACCGGCAACCATGACACTCATGTCTTGCTTTCTCGTTGACTCTGTACGGTTGGTTTCAGCAAATACAACGTGATCTAGGTAAGTCAAGATCTTGCGTCGCGCATGACTATGTGCGACCCCAACGCATCAAAGTACAAGACTAGCCAAAAGGAGCCGCAAGATCTAGGACGTCATGATGCCGGACTGGTCATTTGTTTACTTCATATCAGAGCTCCGTGCGTGTTCAACATCGCGGTTATAGCGGGAGAAAAAAAATGAAAAGACATTCCTGCGACAGTCGTATTTCATGGGCAATACTGGATCAAACTTCTCGACCGATCTCAGCCCTGCTATGACGCAAGGAACAGTATCTGCTTGCGAAGAGATGGCGATGCCAATGGGGTTGGTTTCGCATGCATAGATAGGTAAGTACAATCTCCGTACATGATGAGTTAACTTATCGCTGTGGACAGCCGGTGAGTTACACTCAAGATATGCTAGTACAATTCAGACTTTTGTTTGCATAATCTTCGAGAGCGGCAGCACGGCGGGGACTCACTTCAGCATCGGGATGTATACTACTATGTTGATCAAAGTGTATTCCGACAAGTTTTCATGTTTAGGTTGCCGCCGTCTCGCGTGCGTCAGCGATGTCTGACCGCTCCCGTTTCCCTGGATTTTATCTTGACCTACCGAACCGCGTCCAGGGATCAAAGGCCATTGCTCCGGTCGAAACTAAAATCTGGCATCCAAGAACCCGAATTGGCTCTTATCGTGGTGCTAATTCTTCCAAGCAAGGAGCAGAAGAGGAGAGGCTGCAGGTGGGCTGGCATACGAGCACCATTTGACTGCGCTCTGGCGTGCCACGAAGTCGGTAGGTAGACAAGGTTTGGCATCGTCGAACCCGTGACCATTTGGCTCGCTTTTCTTTCTTGTCGGGAGACCTGTCGTTCGAGGAAAAGACTCCCGTTACACTGGGTTTGTATCAGCCAAGCTAGATATCGGCATGCCCATCCAGGGATGGCTACGTCGTGCATGATTAGTATCTCTATAGCATGATATCCTAATAGAACTGGCTGCACGTGTTGAGGTCATGCAATTTTGATTGGATGGGAGACTATGCTTTTCGTGAGTTGACTTAGTATCCACAGGTTGACTTGCTAAGTTCTGAACTGGGCGACATGTTCAGGCAAGCAGTCACTTGCTCCTACAGTACCGAGCTCACTCACTAACCTACTGGTAGGGGGAAGAGGGGCTCTGCTTACTCTAATCTAATCGTGGGGTTTCGGCCCCCAAACGGCGGTGACCCACTCTTGACAGGCTTCCAAAAGTTCCATTGGAAGTCTTCGATGGCGGCCTCCTTTCAGCCGTGATCTTGCACCCGATCACCCCATGCTACGATCATACTTTTACTATGGAAAACTATGCGTACCAGTATAACCGACAAAGCACAAAACTCTCACATTCAGTAATTACCTTGAGTCATTGATGACGAGCTCGATGACCTATGATTACCTAAAAGCGACCCGTTAACTATTGAGCTGGCCACCCTGTCTGTGGACGGTTACGCTATTTTCTTCTCTTTATGATCTCTGCTTCTATGCCTACGTACGGAGGAGTGTTCCAATTGCGGCTGAGCTCTCTCTTCAGCGGTCCCCAGATATTTCTGACATGGGCTCAACCCCATTCCCAAGCATGAGAGCACCCATGCATCAGACTAGTAGCTATTATTCCTCCCATCCCATTTTGAGCTAGGGCTTGGGCCTACTAATATGGTGAAAGCATACTCACGCCGTGGTGCACTGGAACAAGAATGCACTATTTGCTTGCTACGTTAACTCCCGTAGCTTGACTGCGAACATCCCCTACACTCCCCACAGACAAGGTCGAATGGTTGGTGCACCCTCACAAGGGACATGACATCATGCAGTCATGTTATGGTGCATAATCGGGCACTGCGCTTGATACGACAAAGCTCTCGCGAGGCTGACTATGAGAAAAGTATCAACAGGCAAGAACCCAGGTAAGACTCTCAAAGCCTCCACTAGCATACTTGATACTGTCACAGAAAGGAAGCTTGTTGCTGATTTTAGCGTACCACAGATGTATTAGATACTGGATGGTATAGAACAGTATATATCGAAAGTTACCGGTACCGCATGTTTCCGCGATACCAGACAAGCCAGCTGCTGTCAACGGCCGCATAACCCTACAGTCCCACGGAGAAGGGCTACCAGTGGATCTCGATCTCGTCTTGTAATTTGTCTTTAATATCGCTTGACCTCTTTGTTTCCCCTCGTTGGCTCGCATTTTTCGATTCTCCTTTGTGACGGTCAGGACAGAACCTAGTCGCTCAAGGTAGTGATGACGTATGTTCACGAAATCTTGTAACGGAAAGAAGGCAGGTGGATCAACAGGGGAGTGCTTTCATAGTAATTGAGCGACACTGGAGTACTTGTCAGATCATCTACCAGACACCCTCCCTACTTCAATGACATGAGTAGGTATGCTGATCGAGAGGGAAAAGATAAGTGCTGGCTCGGAATGACCGAGATGTCCGTTGTACAGTTCAATCTCCGCCAAGCGTCATCCCAACTGGATGGAACGTTGCGCCTCCTGGACTGGGGGCCTTTTTCTTTCGTCATCCTGGTAAATTGCGTACTGTACTGTGAGCCCGTTACCACGACCGCAGGTTCTGAAAATTTACCACCGCAGCCGTTTCCTGCCTGTCCGTTCGTTACACCGCGCTTTTATTCTTGTCAATTGTCAATCTCGGTTTGACTTTGGCGATAGGAGCATTTGCCGTACCTTATTTGCTCTTCCATACTGTGTAGTTAGAGACCCCTCCATTGCTCCTATTGCATACAGGACATGCAGGCATGATAGACTGGAACTGTTGTCGCATTTATGAATAAACAGAAATTGTATCATCAGAGCTGTGAAAGTCAATGAACTTTGAAAGTAATACTGTATCAGTGCGTGTCCTTAAAAGCACTCAATTATCCACCGAGCAACAGAGAGATAAGCACGCATGCACTACCGCGTAATTGTGCGCGTGCCTTAGGCAAAAGGCAAAAGGCAAAAGGGAGAAGCCGGGAATTCAGCTTGGGCCTCGTTCAGCCCGGGATCCTTCGATGCGTCTTCGATGCTTCAACCTTCTTCCATCCTCGCCCATATCATATCCCTAACCGCACGGAGCATGCGTGCTATGCTGCGGGGTACCATTCGGCGAGTACCTTCCCTAGTCCTGATTACAACAAGACCGTCATCGAGCTTTGATGACGGCCGAAGAATGTATTGTGGCTTGCTGGGAGGCGAATCGTTCTCCCTCGCGCCATGCAACAAGCAAACATCCTCACTCCTTTCTCCCCCTCGGCGCATGTCAGTTACGAGATTCTGCGGTCGCCATTGAGTGACGCGGGGGCTTCGCCATCATTTCGACCTCCCCTGTCATCTCAGCTTGAGAGAGAGAGGGCCTATCCATGCTGACTACCTTGCCGGGGTCGGACCTCGTTTGGACGAGACGAGTAGACAGAACTCGCTACCACGAACTCATTCTCAGTGGATACAATTCCACGCTCGATCAATTGCGAATAGGGACCGTGACACCATCGGGTTGCCCTACGGCCTGACAAAGTCAAGGAGACACTGGTTCTGAGACATTGCGACTTGGCGCAGCTCTTTTCTCAATTGTCGTTCTTCCATCAATGAACAGATGCTGACTGGTTTCTCTCGGTTATTTAGCTATAATTGCATGGTGATTACCCTGACCTTGACCTGGATACTACCACATACCCCAGACAGCACTGGGCTGGCTGAACGGGGTGGCAACTAACTCATCGCTGCGGTGTCCACAACAATGTATTCTGATCTAGACTACGACACACAAGCCTCCGTGTCGGAGAAATCATGACGGAACGTCGATTCCCTTATGCCAAAACGACATTCTCAAGGCCCAGTTATGCTGCTGTCATCGGCCAATGAAAAGTCTTAGCTCTTGAGTAGCGCCAACCCCCTTTATGCTTGCCGAATTCCGATAATGCAATCATAAGGCAATCGAGGATGCCACATTGGCGAGGTTCTCGTCATCTCCGCTTTCCTTGAATTATTCCTGGTCCGTAGTTGCAGCTGTGCAACATCTCCCTCACCATCTCGTGACTATTCTTTGGACGGGCCCATCCATACTGAATAGCAATAGAAACATCATGGAATAGATACTCTATCGGATTCATCATGAAGGGTCGCCGATGCGGACACCGATGACGTTGTCCCTTCCCTGTGTATGGGCAACCGCCCTTCTCAAGCCGAAGACGCTAGGCGCCTGAAACGAGTGCCATCAGGGCCTAAGGGCCCTTCATTTCGGGTATGGCTTGGTCTACCCGAGCCACAGATCAAATCCCACCCGTTTCCACATCGCACTCTTAATCTTAGGCGTATACTAAGTCCCTCAGTCCACTGACATTGCTTTTTGACCCGAGTATGAATAATGGCTAAAAATAACGTAGGGCGTTCCAGGTGGAAACCTCCAAGAGACGATTGGGCCGGTCATCTTGTTTCTCGAATCCTTCGAGAAGCAAGACATACGATACTGGACGCTGTGAACAGTAAGTAGTGTGGGAATCGATGGTGGGTCTGCGGTAGCGTACGGAGCATGACCGTTCCGTCGATTTCCCATTTCAACTACAGTAATTACCGTGTGGTCCGGGGGCGCTGGCGTATTTAGCGAAAAGCCCGTGAACGTGTGGAAAGCCCTACGTGGGACGGTTCCCAAGCCAGTGATGCCTTGCTGCACCTCCACAAGCAACGTCAAGTCAGACGGCGCGCGGCCATCCTGGTCGGTCCTTTATCAGATTCGGCCCTTGTTCGCGCTGTACTACTGCACAGCACACGGGAAATGCTAACCGTTTGGGCCTTTCCCCAGTGCTCCTGGCCTCAAGTACTTCATGGTGAAGAGCTAGTTCACGACACGTGTCATGCTTACTTGCGCTTTCGTACAGGCATCATCCGGTTGGCTGTGGCTCTGGAGTCTTGCATGCATTCTCCCACTCCGGGAATTTATCTACCATAGCGTTATTTGCCATTCCATCCGCTGCTCCGGATTCGACATGGGGCTTGGCCATATCGAGGCTCGGGATTCCCGGGCTACCTACGATACTTGACTCTGCCACTCCCAGCCGGGTGATGCCGGCCATGCCACTAGCTCTGAGCCCTTAGGGTTGTCGTCAGTTTCTTCTGTATCTCTTTGCTCTCGTTTCGCGTGTATATTCTCGGGGGCCGATCTCCCGATATTCGCAACTAGTCCTCAATCCCTGTGAGCATGACCAGCCACTCCGCCCAAAAAAAAAAGGGACGCACATCTATATGAAACCAGGCTCTGGGGCGAACGCGTTTCCATCCCTCATTTTACCATTGAAACTAACTCGAGTGGGATACGTTCTAGAGAGCTATGCTGATACAGGTTGCCCAATAACATGACGCACTACGTCTGCGCAAGGGCAGCAGAGCCCTATGCGTCCACCAAGCCAGGTTTAACGCTATAGACCATTCAGTGATCAACACGTGTGGCGTGGGTGATGCCATGGGCCCTGGCTGAAAGAGGTGTGAATTCAAGGAATACCCACTGACAGAGGGCATCAATGCCGCAAGTAGGTTTCTCGAGGGAAGTCCAAATCAACCTGCTTACTTCCCTGGTTTTGGTCATTTGACTAGAGACGGGGTGGGATAACACTGCTGCCCCTCCCCCCCTGGAAAATTCCTAAGCGAGACGGCTCACGGACAGAAGTAGCTTATGTTCCATTGAGTCTTAAGCCATCGTGGGGGTTGATTACCTGCTTAGAAACGCCGCATACCATGCTGTTGGATGCGCCTTGAACCGCTTTCAAGAGGGCGCCAATGAGACGCGCTAGTTAGGGCATATCATGCCAGCGATTGGTTTCACGTTTCGATTCGGACGGGCATTGCGCGTCTCTTGCGCCACTTGTCTACCCGCTTTGTCTTGCAGTTTCAAGCCGGTATACCTTTGGATAGGACTCCTGTGTCGGAGATCTGAAACTGAAAGAGTGTCCCCCTGGTCTCTCGGGTGTGCTCAGTACTTGATGCACTCCTCAGCTATTGTACGGCGTATGATTCATGTATTGCAAGTAGAATTATTGATACGAGTGAAGCACGAACAGAGCTGTTCTTGTGGGGGATCTTGAGATGATAACTTCGAAGTTGTAGTTAATCAGATCGTAATCGTTGAAGTCAGCTGCTCTCCCCGCCAGTCCTTGACGGAATGTTGTTCTGCTCCCCGCCTCCGCACGCATCAGCCCCGCACCATCAACCCGTCAACAACAACCCAGCCCATTGACTATCTTGAGCAATTGAGCTGCTCGGGGCTATCTCGATGGACCTTTCCAAGCCCGTTGATGATGGGTTTACTCGAGCTCTCCCCAAGATCGAGGCAAGTCAAGCAAGAGATCCTTTCCTCTCGTTCACCTATTTCAGAGGAACCTCAACTACACTCCCTACCATCAAACCCCACACCTCACCATCCACAACATTCACCTCCCCAGAACAACCCAGAAACTCTACTAACTTCCAGACGACAGCTCCACGCCCACCTAAGCGGCAGCATAAGCCGGCAATGCCTCCACGAGCTCTGGGTCCAGAAGAAAGCCCAATCCCCAAAGACCTTCACCCTCGAAGACCCCTTGGTCGTGATGCCCCCGGGCAAAGTGGACTATTCTCTGCAAACGTGCGTGTTCCCAGCCTTTCCCTTTATCATCTCGAGAGCGAAACACACACACCCATCCCCCAACATCAAAACTCGCGAGTGATTCCGCACATCCCTCCACATCACCAGTCTCCTGCGTCTCTACAAACATACGCCTCCATACTAAGACTCCAAGCATAGATTCTTCACCACCTTCTCCACAACAATCTACCACCTCCTCACCACCCTCTCCGACATCAGGGCCGCCACGCGCGCCACCCTCGCCGACTTCGCCGCCGACGGCGTCGTCTACTTGGAGCTGCGGACGATCCCGCGCGCCTCGCCGGCGCAGTCGTTCACGCGGGAGGAGTACCTGACTGCCGTACTGGAGACGATCGCCGAGTTTAGTTTGCAGCAGCAGCAGCAGCAGCAGCAGCCACTCGAAAATGCATCATTATTACCATCATCTTCCTCAAATCAGACAGGTACAGGAAAAGGCACGCAAATGACCACGAACCTCATCCTCGCCATCGACCGCGGCACCATGACCGCCCGCGAGGCGATGGAGGTCGTCGAGCTGGCTATCAAGTACCGGTCCCAAACCCCCAGCCCCAGCCCCAGCCCCAGCACTCGCACTAGCACCCACCCCCAAACCCAACCCCAAAGTCCAGGCAGGGGCGTGGTCGTTGGCCTCGACATCTGCGGCAACCCCACGAAAGGCAACATCGCGCTGTACGCGCCCGCCATCGCCGCCGCCAAGGCTGCCGGCCTGGGCGTGACGGTGCATTTCGCTGAGATTTCCGCCAGCATACACCCACGAAACCAGGAGGAGGAGTTACGGACCCTCCTCAACTTCGAACCGGATCGTTTGGGCCACGTGATCCACGTGTCTGAGCCGATCAAGAAGGAGATTCAACGGCAGGAATGTGCGCTGGAGCTGTGTCTGTCGTGTAATGTGCACGCGGGCATGGTGGAGGGCGGCTTCGCGGAGCATCATTTTGGGGAGTGGTGGGCTGACAAGAATGGGTGTGTGGTGGTGTTGTGTGTGAGTTTACCCTTAGCTTTACCCTCTCAGTGCCTTTTGGGGTGTGGATGTTACAGTATTTGGGTATGTTGGTGCTGACTCGCGCAGACGGACGATGTCGGGTTCTTCTGTAGCCCCGTGTCGAACGAGTACCGGCTCGCGGCGGAGCACTTCCATCTTTGTCGGGCGGATGTGTTGAGGCTTTGCAGGCAGTCGTACGGCGCGATCTTTGGGTCTACGGAAGAGAAACAGCGCCTCCGCCGACTTCTAGATGACTTTGCGGCGAACTACAAGGATTGACGTCCCAATACTAAAGAAAGTGTGCTTTATACCAAGCTATCGACAAGATAATCAACATTAGACTTTTTATTTTGTGACGAGCTAGCTCTGCCACCGGAATTTCCCTTCCTTCAGCGTCTTAATCACCCCCAGAGGCATGTACTCACGGCTGACAGCCGCTAGATTCCCGTAGCGGTCGGTCATATCCTCGTGGTACAGCTCGGCCACCCACCGCCAGTACGCCGACATGGTCCACCACTCGCCGGAGATGATCTTGCGTTTACTCGATTCCTCGATGCCTTCGTCCAGCGACATCTGGTGGCGCTGGAAGTGCGCCGTCTGGTCGACGCTCTCCTCCTCAGGGACACGGATCAGGTCCTCGTATGCGCGCAGCAGCGGCCGGCTGTACGTCTCGGGATGCCGGGTGTACTCGGCCAGCGCGAGGGCGGACGACGAAGGGACCTCGGATGCGTCGACACCGCCGTAGATGCCCCAGCCGGAATCACCCGTAAGGGGCCCGTCTTTCTCGAACCGCTCCTTGGCCGCTAGGTACTCCGCTTCATCCTCGAGGAAGGCCGCGCGCAGGCGCGCGGCCGGGCTCTGCTTGATGTTCTCGCGCATCGCGAGGAACGGGATGTACGGGTTCAGCAGCTCGATGCCGCCCAGCTCGACGGGGAAGTAGAAGAAGCCCTCGGGGAGGTCGCGCGCGTGGCTTGGGAAGCGGCGGGCGATTTTGTGGCGCAGGTAGTCGGTGACGCCGCTGGCGTTGTCCGGGAACAGCGTGCGCTCGATGCGGTTGAGGGTCGCGATGGCCATGTCGATGTGCCCGCGGCCGAAGCACATGGCCGGCGTGGCGAAGTTGTTGGCGAAGAAGCGCCCGAAGTAGCTGTTCCAGGCCTGGACCCAGGCGAAGATGCTTTTGCAGGAGGCCAGCTGCCGCTGGAGCTCGCTGATGTGGCTGTCGACCTGGGCCTGGTCGATGATGAAGCGCCCTTCTCCCGGGTCGAGTTTGAGGAAGCCCCAGCGGATGTCCCCTTGGGGCAGCAGAACGCTGGACGTGGTGGGCTTCTTCTCCTTGGGGGCTGCGTGTGCATGAGGCCGTGGCACCGTATCCTTGGCCACGAACTTGGTCGTGCCGGTCTTCTCCTCGTTGAATCGAAGACCCATCACCTCGGCGAAGGTGGCCATCGTCTGCCACGCCGTGACGCAGGTGTCTTCGTGACCCCAGAACCAGAAGTCATCGTGCAGTCGGTACAGGTAGCCACCGTCGGTGCTCTGGTTCACGGCAAAGTCCATGCAGAACAGCACCGCTTCGCCGAAGAAATCCGAGAGCGCATGGCTCATGGGCACTCCGCGTCTGCGGACCGACACGGAGGCCGTGGGGCCATCTTGGACGAACGAAATGGGGGCCTTGAGGAAGGTGTCGAAGAAGTGCAGCCAGGTCTGCGGGACTCCGAAGTATTCCAGCACCGTGGAGATAGTGGTGTGGGCGAGGGAGGGTCCGAAATATTCAAAGTCCGACCGGATGGCCGTGAACTCTCCATGCAGGGAGGTGTAGATCAGGGACTCGGTGATGAGGAGATGGAGCAGCGAATGCTTGATCTCCATACCGTTCTTTTTCTTCTTCCCTTCCTCGTCGTCGTCGTCGGCTTCCTCCTCGGCGTAGGGGTCGGAGGTATCGTTCACCGAGCTGGGTAACGAGGTCATGAAGTACTCCTCTTTGAACGTGTTCTTCCGCAATGCGTGGACCGACTGGACCCTGGAGCTCTGGCTCACCGACTCCCTCCGAAAGCGCAACCGCCGCACGACTTCCTCCTCCGAGACCTCGTCGCGCAGCGACTTCCAGGCCGGAGACCCCAGGAACTCCTCGAGGGCCGACCGCAGGGCCACCGCCCACCGCACGCCGAGATACTGGAACATGAGGCTGTCCAGCAGATCCTCATCCATGAACACCCGGTACTTGCCGTTCAGCTGCCGGCGCATCTCGACCGGGATGCCCTCCCCGGACCAGGCCCAGGTGTCCAGGGCGCCGAGGCGCATGTTGAGCACGTCAGCGACCTCCTGGGCGACGGCGGGGTTGCGCATGAACTCCTTCAGGATGGCCGTCTTCTCCTTGGTGAGCAGGTCCGAGCTCAGCAGCGACTTGGAGATCCAAGCGAGATCCTTCGCCTTGAACCAGGTCTTCTTGGACGCAAACTTAGTGCCGAAGGACCGGATCTTGTCGCGCAGCCCCTTCAGCGCCTGCTGGGTTTGCGTTGACGTCTCGAAGATGCCGTCTAGATACGAGCGGATCGCCGCTGCATCGATGTCCGCCTCGGTGAAAACCAGGGACTCCCACTTGGCGCGCTGTTCGTGCATCTCGGCGCGCCCGACCTGCTCGAAGCTCGCACTGTTCTCGTCGGCGCCGGCGCCAGCACCGGCTGCACTCGGAGCAACAGGCTCCCCCGCGCTGAGGTCGCCCAGCCACTCCGTCACCAGATCACTGTAGAAGGAGGCATGCTCGTGCCGGAGCTGCAGAAACTGAAGCTCCTTCTCCAGCTTGGCGATCCAGCCCTTGAGGCTGCGCTCCGAGACGGACGGGTCATACTGGCTCTGGAGGAGGAAGCGTCGGATATTAGCGTACTCCGCGCCCTCGGACAGGTCTTTCACGAACGTGTCGTCGCCTGCGGAATGGTCTGCATCCAGATCGTCGTGACGATCGATGGCGATGTTCGGATAGCCCTTGAGTCTGGTCACCCCGTCCAGCAGAATTTTGGTCTTGGTGCGTAGATCGGTGGCATCTTCGGCGGCTTTGGCGATCTCTTGCCTTTGTTGCTCGAACAAATTCCGTTGCTTCGAGAGTTCGTTGATTTTGGTGGCGGTGATCGAGCCTAGAGTCTGGGGCAGAGCGCCGCCGGACAGCATTGTTGTAGTGCCTGCTGGTGGATTGTTGGGAAAGAAAGGACGTCAAGACCACCGTTCGGACACGTAGAGAGATAGAAAAGAAAGGAGGAGGAAAACAAAAAGATGTCGAGTGGGTTGAGTCCAGCGATCGACAAAAGCAAGAGCTCCCTAGAGCTCCATTATATACTCGTACTCGAGTCAGCGGGTGGGGACGAGATCCGCGGCGGGATCCCAAAGCGGTATCATCGCATCCAATCCACCACCTTTCGTCTCTCCGCTTCCGACTCAGCCTTCCTCTTCGGCATCCCAAAAGGGTCCCCGATGTACTACAGCTGGCTCTTTGAGTCACCCACCGTCGTCACGATGATCAATCGGACGACGACGACGACCGCTGCACGAATTGGAGCTGGCACAGGTCATACTGCATTTCCAGAAAGCTCGCGCCCCGCAGTTCAGCCGCAGCAGACGCAGAGAATCTCCACCGCTGCACGATCGCCCTCACAGCCTTGGCAAGAATAAGCGACGCCAGATCGCGGCCACTGCAGCCCCGGGGCCCTCTGCTGAACGCGACGAACCGGCGGTCCATCTGCCGACGAGATTCTTCGTCGTCGTCGTTGTCGGCGCTCCCCAACAACCAGCGCTGCGGGACCCATTGGTCGGCATCCTCGCCCCAGATCTCCCGCGACCGACCCAGAACATACGTGCTGGCCGAGACTGTCGTGCCCGCCGGCAGGGGATGGGACAGGCCTGGGATCACCATCTCAGCACCCGACCGTATCACTCGCGGGAACGCCGTCGGAAAGGGGGCGCGAAAGCGCAGGGTCTCTTTGATGACAGCCTGTAGCTCGAGCGGCGGCGACAGCGACGGCGAAGAGCCCTCCATCGAGGTCGAGCCCCCAAGCGCCTCACTCCCCGCGCCGGCGCGCAGCTTCTCCTGCCAGACCTGACCCTCCGGAAGACCCAGCTGGTAAAGAACCGCCGTCAAGGCAGCAGCCATGCTGCCGGGACCAGCAAACACCAAATTGAAGGCCTCGGACACAGCCTCCGCCGGCGTCATCTTCTGGTGGTGGTTGTCTGCAACACCACCCGCCGACGAACCCATCCCCATCCCCACCCTTAGCCAGCTTTCCACAATCCCCGGCTGTTGCTGCTGCTGCTGCGAACCCTGCCCCCGAACAAAAACCTCCGGAGTCCCCAGAATCGCCGCGGCGGCGCGGTGCATGAGCCCGTTCAACCCGACCATCGCGCCAGCCGCGTTATACCGGGGCCGCCGCAGACAAGCCACCGCCAGACGGGTATTCATCAGCCACCCGAACGCCGGCCAGAGCGAGTAACTCCAGACCATCTTGCTGACATACCGGATACTGGCGCCGAGGTCCCCGGCGATCTCATTGTCCGTGTAGGGGTGCGGGCCCACCGCCGGCCCGAAGAGGATGTCCAGCATCACGTCCAGGGTGAAGCGGTGGACGAGCGGCGCCACGTTCACCTCCACCTCCACTTGTCCGGAATGTGCGTGTTGTCCCCGTGCCTCCTGTTCCAGTAATACCGCCTCCAACCGCGCAACCAACATGGCCACATGCCTCGCGATCACCGGCTCGTAGCGCAGGACCTTGGTGCGCGTCAGGGCCGGCCCCAGCATCCTGCGGCGCTTCTGGCGGTGGGCGGGGTTCGACTGCGTGGCGAAGACGCTGACGTCGCGCTGGGGGCGCGGCTCCCCGAAGGTGTAGAAGTCGTCTTTCTCGATCGCTTTGTGGAAGCCGTAGATGGCCTCGAAGGCGGGGAGTTGCGAGAACGAGAGCCAGTTCGGGGCCACCCGGACGATAGGGCCGTAGCGCTGGTGCAGTTTCTCTTCTGTGAGATGGTGCTGGCCGCGGAGGAAGCTTGCGAAGCGCCTGGGGTTGGGGCTGGCTTAGCACTATGGATCGCCAGTAAAGAGGACCTGCCGACATACCAGATATTCGTAATCCGAGCCAGGAAGGGACCCGGATACCGCGCCAGCGGGTGGAGATAGTAATTGTAAAGCACGTGGGCCAGGAGATCGGCCAGGAGGAACTGGACGACGAGCAGGATGGCAGAAGTCATCGTCGCGGAGCGTAGGGCGTAGAGTCAAGTAGATTGATTCCACGATATCGTGAGCC